ACGGTTTGAGAGAAAATTTGGAATTTGACCAAAAACTTTGAATAAAATAAGAAATAACGAATAATATGGAAAATTTTTAACAGACTTGGCAGTGAATATGTCTTGATTTCAACAAAAAAAGATTTAGTTTCAATCTTTATTAATAATGAGCGCAAAACTTTTTAATATGTTTAAATAATAATTAAAACTTTAAAATTACATTTATTTCAGACAATTATAAATATTATCAAGTAAAAACGAGATTTTCAGCTAATTTTTCATTTTTTCCTAGATAACCATTTAGTGAATTTGAATAACCTTATGCTAAAGTGATTCTCCAGAGTTCAAGTTACTTATTATAAAAGTTTGAAATTTCTGGTAGCTTTTTTTCTGTTAATAAAAATAAATTTAATCTGTTCGGTTAACGAATCTCCATAAAATGACGTGTAAAATTACAATTTTTTAAANACTCTTTAATGCTTTTCTTGATCTACAGCTTTAGAGAATAAAAGCTGTTTTTGTATTTTGTTTTATCTTACAAATTGTAGATTTTCGACACCACTTTTTTTTGCTAAATACGTAACACTTTAAACTCTAAAAAATTTTTAAAGGTAACAAGATTATGTGATCTTTCATCGGATGGAAATGCAGTAACTTCGGTTGCGTGGAGTGAGCGAGGCCATCTAGTTGCGGTCGGTACGCATCACGGCTATGTTACTGTATGGGACGTTGCAGTCAATAAACAAGTAAATAAGCTTGTGGGACACTCGGCAAGAGTCGGAGCCCTGGCATGGAATGGAGACGTGCTTAGTTCGGGTAGTAGGGACAGACTTATTCTTCAAAGAGATACGAGGACGCCAGGTAAATACAACATTTTAAGATATTTAATCTTGATTTAGATTTTGTTAACTGTATGTACCTAGTCCTTTTCAATAAAAAATGCATTTTTCTACGTTAGAATTATATAGTTTTCTATTGAAATATATAATTCATAATTCCCTCATTTCTATAGGTACTGTCCCCGAACGTCGGCTTGTAGGTCATCGGCAAGAAGTGTGCGGATTAAAGTGGTCCCCTGATAATCAGTATTTGGCATCTGGCGGCAACGATAATCGTCTGTATGTCTGGAACATGCAGTCCTTATCTCCCGTACAAACGTATACAGATCACTGTGCCGCCGTCAAAGCTATTGCTTGGTCCCCACATCATCATGGCCTTTTAGCGTCCGGAGGTGGAACAGCTGACCGCTGTATCCGATTCTGGAATACGTTAACGGGACAACCCATGCAGTGTGTTGATACTGGTAGGTTCAATGTAATTTTATGCAATTCCTTTATCGTGAATTTTGTAATCGAGTGCGAAACGTAGGTTGTTGGCTTCACATAAATAAAAAAACCTTTGCCCCTATATAGGTTGATTTTTACATTATACAATTTTCTTTGAGTATTTGTTCGGTTGAAGTTGTTAGAAAACAATTATAATAATTATGACGCAATTGTGAAATAATCTAAATATACAGATGTATAAAAACCGACTTCAACACTTTGCCTGCATGCACAAGTTTAAGTTAAACCAAAGTGACGAAGTTGCGTTATTTTCTTCAAATATCATTCCACTCTTGGAGGTGGAATTTTTTCTTCTTATTTAAATGGACCTCCATGAGATATAACATACTCAACAAAAAAAGAATTATTAAAATCCGTTACAAATTGGCAAAAAAAGAACGCGTAACTTTCACAAAAAAAGTTGACTGTCACTGGACGCTTGGCAGATGTGAAACGTTAGAATTGATAGTAGAATTTATAATTAATAAAAACCAATAATGAGATATTAAGCACTTAACAATGTCGTTTCAAAAACAATAATTCTGAAAAGAAGCGTATAGTACACGCATGCGCACACATGAAGGTCGAGAACAGGAGGGAAGTGGGGAGACATGACGGCATAAGAGAACCTCATGTTATTTGACGTCACGGCATACTAGTCTGTTTTACTGCCACTAAAAGTCGAATTGGGAAACTTCCTTTTTATAAAGTCGGTTAGAAATAATGAAACCTGCTCAACAGTATATGTATTACGTACCTAATTTGTTTAATTAGAGATTCATCTAGTTTTTAACTGAAGTTAATGTTTTTATCAAAAATGTATTGCATTTTTTTTTCAGGATCACAAGTATGTAATTTGGCATGGTCAAAACACAGTTCGGAACTAGTTTCCACGCATGGTTATTCTCAAAACCAAATCCTAGTATGGAAATATCCGAGTTTAACACAAGTTGCGAAACTGACAGGTCATTCATATCGCGTACTTTACTTGGCCCTGTCCCCTGACGGAGAAGCGATAGTGACCGGAGCGGGAGACGAAACGCTAAGATTTTGGAACGTCTTCAGTAAAGCGCGGTCTCAGAAGGAAACCCGATCTGTGTTGAGCTTGTACACGGGCATTCGTTAAACTTTAGTTCAGTGGAATACTATAAATTGTCTGATGTTAATTTCAGGAAGAAAATAATTTATTTGATGTTTTTAACTTCTATTTTAGAAAAACTGCGTCTGAAAAATAGTGCTTCTGCAAGTGTTTCTTGCGGTATAAATCATTGTATATATTTATAGCTATTGAGAATTTATATGTATTAACATATAGTGAACTTTTATTGAATTATTTTACAGAATTATGTACATGAATATATGTATGTATGATTTATATAAGACGGTGTACGTTTTTGTACATGACTAAATATTTACTTGTGATGTTTTTGTGTTCAAATTTTTAGTTTCTACAAGAGAGGACAAATGATTTTAAATTTTTATTAAGTACAAGTTTTAGGGTTTGGAAGCCATTTATTATTTATAATCTATTTATATTTTTTAAGGAATTATTAAGGAAATGTAATTTTTTTAAGAGTGTATAAAATTGCTTTTTTCTTCCAAAATAAAAAAACAAATGGAAAACTTTTAAGCTTTATAATGGGGTGTAATGTAAGAAAATTAGGATATTTTACAACCGATGATAAATGTGAATGAAGTTTTTTTTTTAAGAATTTCGAAATAATCTTATTTATCAAGAAATGTTTTTAACTTGATGGGATGTTACAATTATTGCTTATAGTACAAATATATTTAATTGATGTCGTAATTAAAAAAGATATTGTATAAACAGTATTTTGCTTTGTTTTTTTTAATAATTATTTCTCAAAGTAGCGGCAGTATGCATGTGTCTATCTATATACAAATTGGCAGTTATAGGGACTGCCGATAGAGGTGAAAACTTAGAACTTTTAGTATTTGAAATTTCACAATGTTTGAATAAAAATTATCAACATCAATCTGGTTTTCACATCTGTTGACACTCCGAGCAACAATTATATGCATGTTTATATAGTTTTTTATTATTCAAATATTTTCATAAATTTCAATTTAATTGATGTCGTAATTAAAAAAGATATTGTATAAACAGTATTTTGCTTTGTTTTTTTTAATAATTATTTCTCAAAGTAGCGGCAGTATGCATGTGTCTATCTATATACAAATTGGCAGTTATAGGGACTGCCGATAGAGGTGAAAACTTAGAACTTTTAGTATTTGAAATTTCACAATGTTTGAATAAAAATTATCAACATCAATCTGGTTTTCACATCTGTTGACACTCCGAGCAACAATTATATGCATGTTTATATAGTTTTTTTATTATTCAAATATTTACATAAATTTCAATGTACTTGATTTTTAACATTGTTTGCATCATTGTCATCATTAATTTTAACAGTACTTTCACTTTTTGTACTTTCAATTATTTCATTGTGTTCTAAAAAAGATACAATAGGCTTATGGTAACTAAAGTAAGAAATGAAAACGTTTGATTGAAATTTATCTAAGTATCACGTAAAAACCGCATCGATCGTCGTAGCTGTATAGCTACAGATATACTGCTACAAGCATGTCGGTGACGCGAACGTACGAGATTTCACCCATCCAAAAAGCGTCTAACGCCTACAGCATACGGCTGCTGCGGGTGCCCAGTCGTGAGCATGTCGGTGACGCAAACCCAGTACATTTTCCCCTGCCAAAAAGTGCCCAACGTCGCTAAAGAAGTTTTCCCTTCAAAAATTGTTGCATTTAGGGACTGTGGTTTAATTTTTGGTGGTTTTGGTACATTGCTGACGAAAAATGTAAAATTCCTTATTTCAGCTTATTTCTTCTCCGAAACTATCTGAAAAAGCTACTACCATGTAATTTACAAACATTGGAGATAAAACCTTTGACGTCCTTTCGGGAAATAAGCACTATTAGCACTTTCAAGATCTGAAAATTATATTAACTATGATGGGACAGACGTAACCCTCTGCTGTAATTGAAATATGATCATATACTGCCTCAATCGTTTTCTAAGATATGATTTATAGCAATAGGTGTATTATAAAGAAGAAGGTTAAAAACGAGTACTGCAATTCTACATTATTTTTATTTAGATATTAGCCGATTGTCGTGATATCGTCTAAGTCGTTTTGGACTGGTAACCCGTTTTCCATACGTGATCGATAAATACTTTTTTTTAATTCGTTTATTTATTTTCTACTAATTTCTTTGATGGATATATGTAGGATCATAAGGATACGATACGAACAGACAACATTCACTATTTCCTTTTTCATTTCACAACACTGACAATAGGTACAAGTAAAACAAACTGTCAATCATGGCCGGGTTTTTATGAGCGCGGCTGGAACAATTAGCGACTTCCTGAGCGCTAGTATGAATGAAAAATGATGCGCAGATCCGCGTGGCTATCGCTTACTTTGCACGAGGTTAGAAGAGCTTCCTCTTCCGCGTATACGCACTGCGTAGTCTGATACTTCTTCTTGGGGGCAAGAAAATACCCATAGAAAGGTCATCGTTGTCTATTTGTATGAAATTCACATTAAATAGAAATATCGTGGTAAAGACCAGCCGCCCAATTGTAAGGTAAATATAAATAAAAACCGATTATTTTATTTATATAAAAATAAAAATTAATTGGTTGGTAAACTTTTTGCAAAATCTTTTGTTAACTTTTAAATCTTCAGATCTTAATTTGCATTTACTTTATTAGTATATTTTGTTTCCATTTGGAAATATATAAGAGCATGAAGGGAAAGGCTTTTTATTATATCCAGTTATTTTATGATAATTAATAGGTTTGTATCTTCAATCAATTACTAATTAGCAATTTGGCACGAAAATACGACTGTTTAAATATTAAGAGAAAACCATTTTTTTAAAATACTTTTATTATTCTGCAAATTAGGAACTATTTCTAAGGATTTCAATCTCAAACGAATTTAAAGCAAGATCACAGATTAGAAAGTAAATAACATTAGGAATACTATAATCAAGCTTAACAATACCACAACAAAATAAAAATAATTATGAATTTTTCATTTTATTAAAATAGTATTGATGATATCAAGCAATCGTTACAATACTACGTGATTGAAGGAGTTGCAAAAATTTAAGTTTTGAATAATTTAATATCCATCAATAGCTATTTGTATTTATAACAGAAATGCCTCAGTAATTATTTTTCAACAAAGTTGTATAAAAAGTTATACGTGAGATCCATTCTCGCTTACTTTGAAATGCCTCATGTTAATACCACAAATATTGAACCCTCTATTTTTCTGAAATTGGGTTTCTAATGTGCAATACTGCGATGCAGAGGGCAACAAAAAATAACCACATTATGGTATCCCTACAACTCGTCAAAACAAACGACGGCGTCAGAAGGACTCAGCCATTCTGAGCATAAAATAAGATTAGGGCTAACAATACTTACAACATTTAACGAGTCGGAGCGTGGAAGGTTGGAACCATGAGGGGAGCAAAGAAGATAGAAACTTTAATAATTGAGGTCGATATGCTAGAGTTAAATATAATAAGATTAATGAAGTTCCTTTGCCAGAAGTCGGAGACTTTTTTGGAATGAAGACTTTGGAAGGTCATTCCGGGGTAGGAATGGTAATGCGTAGGAAAGAAAGATAGAGCACAGAAAGTTATTTACGGAAAAACGATAGCAAAGTTATGATCAAGTTAAATTTGAAATAGTAATGCAGGTATATACGCCTACTTTTACTTGTAGTGAAGATTTCGAAGATGTGTTAAGTTTAATGAAGTCAGGAAAATCTAATAATTGTAAGATACTTTAACGCAGTAATAACTGAAGGCAAAGATAGAGTAATAAACGGTTCTTTTGGATCAGACAATAGAAATGATAGAGGCACACAGATTGATAGAATTCTGTGATAAACTATCTTAAGCGCCTCATATACTTTATTTAATCATCACGTATTCGTTGAAGACCGTTTTTTGGAATAAAACAGCCTGTTAGTAATTTAGTTCCCCATATCACAAAAAAAATCACATTTTAAATTGTTCAGTTTTAAAAATTAATAAGTAATACATTGTATAATCAAATTACAACACATTATTATGTACATGTAACGTTGATCATCACGCATTTGTAAAAACAGCAGCACTTAATGTCAAGTGTAATGCATTTTCAATTTGTATTGATAATTTTTTGCATCTCCCTCTTGTAAATTTGTTACGTATTCTAACATGACTATAGCAATCATAGCAAATAAAAATACAAGTTTTATTTTTATTTTGCACATCTGACACAGCAAATGTTTTAATTTTATTACGTAAATAACATGAAATTGAGCTACAACCAAGCACACCTGGTGGTAATTGGAATGTAAAAGAATCAACAAATTAAATGTTACTTTTTGTTGATCAAGAATATATATTTCTTGTATTCCAATAATACTAGTAAATGCAATAAATACTCTTACTTCATACAATAAAGGAATAACGAGAAGGGACAATGCAGGTGTGCTACGAAATTAAAATATCCAGTGCTTTGTCTCTATCATTATCACTTTTTAACAGGGCTTTTGACACTTCACTTTCTGGAAAACCCAGATCTAACAATTCCGACATTGCTAATAAATGTTCAATTACCTACAAAATAAAATCAATTAGTAACTAATTTTTTAATAAAATAATTAGTACAAGCAAATCAAAAAAACACAAATTAAATTGTAAGGTAATTTTTAAAGTTTAAGTTTTAATACTTTAAATTTGTAGAAGATTGTTCATCATTTTCCAAATTCACTTTATTTATTTATCTAAAAATCAACGGCTAAGAGACCCAATTACTTAGATACAAAAATAGGATGATTCCACCGTGCACAACATCCGCATTATAATAATAACAGATAAGTTTAATTTATGAACATTACAGTTACCCATAAGAAATTCTCCTTATTGCCAAAATGAAACACTAAGCGAATTAAAGAGTGTCAAGATTACTGGGTTAAGAGAATGATATGTAAGTTATTTTTTAAGGTGTTGCTGTTGGTGCTGGGAATAATGATGTTCCAAATCCTTCGCATGAGGAGTGTGGGAAAATGAAATGTATAGTTTGTGATGTATGAGTGTTCTGCCACAGTATAAATACGTCACAGTTTGATGAGGAGGGTGAGATGAGGTTTCTGGAGGAGAAAAGAAAGGACAGTTGTGTGCATATTTTGATTTGAAAATGAAAAAGTAATCGAAGTAGATATGTAAATTATTGATGGAAAGTGAAAATCTACACAGCATAACTGAATGCTCTACAAAGAACACTCTCAAGTTGAGAGATTCTATATTACATGCAAGGGGTTCAGACGACTAATCGTGAATCATATGGAGGGTGCGGAAGAATTAAATATTAATGATTCAGAATTCTAAAATCACAGGTGGACCTTTGGGTGCATCTAAGGGGTTTAAGGAACGTGGATGTAATTGGGTTAATATGTTTAGTAAAGGTTAAATTGGAGTCCGGTATTACAGCTAGAGCCGAAAGCGATTAGACTCTATTCAACATCGAGGACCACAATGCATAGTTGCACAGCAGCCTGGTTCTACCATTGTAACATGTTTTGACTGAATTTTTGATCATAAAGCTTTAATCCACAGTCAGAGCACCACTCATCAATTTTTATCAGGCGTTACAGAAGGTTATTACAGTCGGATAACGAGTAGACTTTGCCTTTGTCTGAGTATAATAGGGTTCGAGAAGACAGAAGTTCAGAAGGTAAACAAAGTAAATAACAGCGAACCAAAGTGCTTGTGGCACACTAAAGGAAATAGCACTGAGTAGTAGAATCTTAAGAGCTCCACCTAGGCACTGCAACAACTTACCACCTATGCTAAATATTTTCGCTCTTATTAACAGGATATCAAGGGGGGCACTATCGAATGCCTAGGTCATGTCCAGGAACAGGTTATATCCTCATCGAAGGATGACGTATGTTAATAATAAAAGAAGAGGGAAACTGAATCTGTATCTACATGATTGGATGATGTAAGGTTGAGAATAGTTTGGTACTCCTCAGAACTTATGGAAAGGTTAGCATCCAGACGGCGATGAGACGATTCAAAGAGCTGCGATTTACCAGAGGATTCAGCAGCAGATTACATAAATATTTAGGAACTATTAACAATGATTATTGATCACATTTTGAAAGATGTAAAAATGGAATTAAATGAAAATCCGAGCGAATTAGCAATCACAAAAAGGAATTGATATATAAGTTAAACATACTTAATCACAAAAGGCATTAAACAGTATGACATCAAAGTTTAAATGCGTTAGGGATGCCCGATAGGAGAGCAAAAACTACCATGTATAAATATGCCCGGCAAGGCTAATATTGGGTCTCCAGTACCTGGTTACTTGGCAAAACTACTATCTGGTTTATTTAAAAAGATTGAGATTATACCTTTTTCTGGTCTTCTCCAACAGCAACAACCACCTTTGCGACCCTGGATAGTGGAAATCCCATTGAACTGATGTTATGTGAAAAAGCTTTTAAATTTGCTGGTAAAGACAAGAAAACTTCATCTTTTTCTTCTTCTTCTTCTGTATTCTTTTGTTTTCTGCTTAATTCAGTAGTCTGTACATTCCGTGTAACTGACTCAGGACAACTGATTCTATTAATATTTGTGTTGCTCATACGTACATTACTAAGTTCATCTTGTAGAGCCTTCATTATATCTGGTACACTTTTGTAACTTGCACTGACACTGGTATTGCTCTGTTTACTGTCAGTAATACTCGTACCAGTCTTAGAATATGTATATGAAGTCGCTTGGGGTATTTCATAAGAACTTACTTTATTGTAATCATATTCCAAAGTTAAAGGTTGATAATAAAAACCATTGGCAGTACTATATGGGAGTTTCTGTTGATAAGCCATTTGAGATGATTCAGATGTTACAAAACTAGGATGACTGCTTATGTTATAATTAGGCATAGAATAGCTTGTGGAAGGTTCCGGTATCGATGAAACTGTATTAACTGGTGTATAATGTCCATATTGAGGCATTTGAATATATGGATTCACATTTAGTCTATTAATAGACTCATCATTCTTCAGTACCTGTGCTAATTCTTCGAGGTCATTTATTGTTTTTAATTCAACATTATCAAATGGACTAGAATTGTCTGCTTCAAAATCAGAAATATTCAAAGGACTTTTATCATTTAATTTGCTAGTTACTGTAGAGCAAATGGGTTCTTTTAATGGTATAGGTGTTAAAATATGTGAATAAGTTGGCCTTGTTGTTATTGTTGGAAAATTATTATGAGAAATATCATTAAATGTATTAACAGAATTTGATGTATTGTATGGTAAAATTTTAGATACATTCTCATGGAATTTACTACTTACACTAGAATTATTAGCACCAATAAATATTTCTTTTTCTTCTGATTCTAGCCTCTTCTTTTCTTGCTCAGTCTGTTCTAATCGTCTTTGTCTTTCTTCCTTAGCATTTTCATATCTTATTTTCTTTTCCTTTCTTATTTGCTGCCTTGCAATCTTAAGTTCCTTTACTTTTTCCTTTATATTTGTTTCTAAAGTAAAATCATATGTTGATAAATTATCTTGAATATGTTTCTTGTTTAAAATTCTTTGAGTATACGCGGTAACGGGATTAATACGTGGGGGCGGCTTATAATTTTCTGAAATCTTTACTCTAATTCCATCCATATAAGAATGATGAGTTTCTTGACCTTGTTTTAGTGACATGACTTCTTCAACCTCTTTTATAATGAAAATTGCAAAAAAGTATGATTCACAGACAAACATGAATCAGAATTTTATTAATAGTTGCGAACACATGGGGCCATTCACTCTACTGTAGATTACATTTAGAATCTGTTGTCACTGATTACATTTTCACATTTTATTTGAAAATTTTTAATTTTTGCTATAACTACAAATAAAATATATGTTAAATAAAAATTAGCAATTCAGTCTGGCTTTTAGTTACTTTTCATTTTTGTCACGAGAGATTCTCTTTATCCGTCACATCTGTCAAAGTCAAATTTCATGTCAAATTTGTTCTATGTCAGCGTGGCTATGATCATCGACGTTTACTAATGGACATGCCTTAGCGGTCAGAATTATGGTACATTAAAAGAAAGAGATAGAATGAAGTTTCGGACAATATCCATCTCTTTCACGATAGTGCGTAAGCGTGTCATGAAAGAGATAGCACTAGTCCGAAACCATACGCCATCTCTCTCACTTTTCCAGCCAAGAAATTATTACAATGACATACGGCTAAGGCACGTCTATTAATATATTCAGAAATAACCGTAGATAAACATAAAAAATAATAAATATTACAAAAATTATGTGCAATACACTTGGGCAACTATTAAACTGACTGTATATTATTGACACTACATAACAATCACATGACAATTGATATCACTGAAACTCCATACACCACGGCATGGCTCAGCTTATAAAACGATGCTTAGTATCTATGATGTTTAGTTAGTTAAGGTCATAGATAAGTTAAGGTAGATGTGGATAGATCGTTGTCAGAGAATGTTAAAGTATCATTGAGTTATCTATAAATCTATTATTTTTATNACAAAAACAAAATGCGTTTTTAAAAAGAACCGAAAAAAGCTGTACATGATTGTTTAGAATTAGTACAAAATGCAAACGAATTATAGAAAGTATATATCATTAAATAAGTGCAAATGTAACAAAAGTTTCTATTGAATTAACAGTTTGTTGTTTTTATTCCAGAATGAAAGAACCCCTGTCAAATCAAGTCCGTACTCATTATCCCCCTTGAGTTTGAGCAGCCAAAGATTATTGAGATCACCACATAAGGCTACTCGAAAGATTTCACGGATTCCTTTTAAAGTCTTAGATGCACCTGAGCTACAAGACGACTTCTACCTTAACCTTGTTGACTGGTCAATACAGAACGTTCTTAGTGTAGGTCTTGGAAGTTGTGTTTATCTGTGGTCTGCATGCACTAGTCAGGTATGTTCATTAATATTAGGTACTACATATTCTAGTGCTAATTAATAGTTGTAATCAAATTTAAAAGGTCAAATAATAAAATAATTTTTTTTGAAATTTTTAAAAAGTGAATTCCAAATCACTTTTCTAAAGCGTAGGTAGGTTCTGTGTTGTAACTATCCCTCATGGGCCGTAACTTTTTTTATAATTTTCACATATTTGTTAATGAAGTAATTTGTTTTTTGTTCATCACTGACAACAAATTTTTTATTCTGTTGATCAAGAAACTACCTCTAAAATTTTACTTCTATTTTGAATACTCGGAACTCTTTAATGCTTTTCTTGATCTACAGCTTTAGAGAATAAAAGCTGTTTTTGTATTTTGTTTTATCTTACAAATTGTAGATTTTCGACACCACTTTTTTTTGCTAAATACGTAACACTTTAAACTCTAAAAAATTTTTAAAGGTAACAAGATTATGTGATCTTTCATCGGATGGAAATGCAGTAACTTCGGTTGCGTGGAGTGAGCGAGGCCATCTAGTTGCGGTCGGTACGCATCACGGCTATGTTACTGTATGGGACGTTGCAGTCAATAAACAAGTAAATAAGCTTGTGGGACACTCGGCAAGAGTCGGAGCCCTGGCATGGAATGGAGACGTGCTTAGTTCGGGTAGTAGGGACAGACTTATTCTTCAAAGAGATACGAGGACGCCAGGTAAATACAACATTTTAAGATATTTAATCTTGATTTAGATTTTGTTAACTGTATGTACCTAGTCCTTTTCAATAAAAAATGCATTTTTCTACGTTAGAATTATATAGTTTTCTATTGAAATATATAATTCATAATTCCCTCATTTCTATAGGTACTGTCCCCGAACGTCGGCTTGTAGGTCATCGGCAAGAAGTGTGCGGATTAAAGTGGTCCCCTGATAATCAGTATTTGGCATCTGGCGGCAACGATAATCGTCTGTATGTCTGGAACATGCAGTCCTTATCTCCCGTACAAACGTATACAGATCACTGTGCCGCCGTCAAAGCTATTGCTTGGTCCCCACATCATCATGGCCTTTTAGCGTCCGGAGGTGGAACAGCTGACCGCTGTATCCGATTCTGGAATACGTTAACGGGACAACCCATGCAGTGTGTTGATACTGGTAGGTTCAATGTAATTTTATGCAATTCCTTTATCGTGAATTTTGTAATCGAGTGCGAAACGTAGGTTGTTGGCTTCACATAAATAAAAAAACCTTTGCCCCTATATAGGTTGATTTTTACATTATACAATTTTCTTTGAGTATTTGTTCGGTTGAAGTTGTTAGAAAACAATTATAATAATTATGACGCAATTGTGAAATAATCTAAATATACAGATGTATAAAAACCGACTTCAACACTTTGCCTGCATGCACAAGTTTAAGTTAAACCAAAGTGACGAAGTTGCGTTATTTTCTTCAAATATCATTCCACTCTTGGAGGTGGAATTTTTTCTTCTTATTTAAATGGACCTCCATGAGATATAACATACTCAACAAAAAAAGAATTATTAAAATCCGTTACAAATTGGCAAAAAAAGAACGCGTAACTTTCACAAAAAAAGTTGACTGTCACTGGACGCTTGGCAGATGTGAAACGTTAGAATTGATAGTAGAATTTATAATTAATAAAAACCAATAATGAGATATTAAGCACTTAACAATGTCGTTTCAAAAACAATAATTCTGAAAAGAAGCGTATAGTACACGCATGCGCACACATGAAGGTCGAGAACAGGAGGGAAGTGGGGAGACATGACGGCATAAGAGAACCTCATGTTATTTGACGTCACGGCATACTAGTCTGTTTTACTGCCACTAAAAGTCGAATTGGGAAACTTCCTTTTTATAAAGTCGGTTAGAAATAATGAAACCTGCTCAACAGTATATGTATTACGTACCTAATTTGTTTAATTAGAGATTCATCTAGTTTTTAACTGAAGTTAATGTTTTTATCAAAAATGTATTGCATTTTTTTTTCAGGATCACAAGTATGTAATTTGGCATGGTCAAAACACAGTTCGGAACTAGTTTCCACGCATGGTTATTCTCAAAACCAAATCCTAGTATGGAAATATCCGAGTTTAACACAAGTTGCGAAACTGACAGGTCATTCATATCGCGTACTTTACTTGGCCCTGTCCCCTGACGGAGAAGCGATAGTGACCGGAGCGGGAGACGAAACGCTAAGATTTTGGAACGTCTTCAGTAAAGCGCGGTCTCAGAAGGAAACCCGATCTGTGTTGAGCTTGTACACGGGCATTCGTTAAACTTTAGTTCAGTGGAATACTATAAATTGTCTGATGTTAATTTCAGGAAGAAAATAATTTATTTGATGTTTTTAACTTCTATTTTAGAAAAACTGCGTCTGAAAAATAGTGCTTCTGCAAGTGTTTCTTGCGGTATAAATCATTGTATATATTTATAGCTATTGAGAATTTATATGTATTAACATATAGTGAACTTTTATTGAATTATTTTACAGAATTATGTACATGAATATATGTATGTATGATTTATATAAGACGGTGTACGTTTTTGTACATGACTAAATATTTACTTGTGATGTTTTTGTGTTCAAATTTTTAGTTTCTACAAGAGAGGACAAATGATTTTAAATTTTTATTAAGTACAAGTTTTAGGGTTTGGAAGCCATTTATTATTTATAATCTATTTATATTTTTTAAGGAATTATTAAGGAAATGTAATTTTTTTAAGAGTGTATAAAATTGCTTTTTTCTTCCAAAATAAAAAAACAAATGGAAAACTTTTAAGCTTTATAATGGGGTGTAATGTAAGAAAATTAGGATATTTTACAACCGATGATAAATGTGAATGAAGTTTTTTTTTTAAGAATTTCGAAATAATCTTATTTATCAAGAAATGTTTTTAACTTGATGGGATGTTACAATTATTGCTTATAGTACAAATATATTTAATTGATGTCGTAATTAAAAAAGATATTGTATAAACAGTATTTTGCTTTGTTTTTTTTAATAATTATTTCTCAAAGTAGCGGCAGTATGCATGTGTCTATCTATATACAAATTGGCAGTTATAGGGACTGCCGATAGAGGTGAAAACTTAGAACTTTTAGTATTTGAAATTTCACAATGTTTGAATAAAAATTATCAACATCAATCTGGTTTTCACATCTGTTGACACTCCGAGCAACAATTATATGCATGTTTATATAGTTTTTTATTATTCAAATATTTACATAAATTTCAATGTACCTGATTTTTAACATTGTTTGCATCATTGTCATCATTCATTTCAACAATACTTAGACTTTTTGTACTTTCAATGATTTCACTGTGTTCTAAAAAAGGTACAATGGGCTTATGGTAACTAAAGTAAAAAATGAAAATGTTTGATTGAAATTTATCTAAGTATCGCGTAAAAACCGCATCGATCGTCGTAGCTGTATAGTTACAGATATACTGCTACAAGCATGTCGGTGAGACCAACACACGAGATTTCACCCATCCAAAAGGCGTCTCACGTCTACAGCACACGGCCACTGCGCGTGCGCCAATCGTGAGCATGTCGGTGACGCGAACCCATAACATTTTCCCCCTACCAAAAAGTGCCCAACGTCGCTAAAAAAGTTTTCACTTCAAAAATCGCAAGGCGCAAGATCGGGGGAATAAGGAGGGTGTGGTTTTGCAACCTCTTTTCTGGTAAGTGTGTGGACGAGCATTGCACTGTTGCAAGATTATAGGTGCTAGATTGGCTCGAACATGTCATTGCCCTTTGATGTACTTGTTGCTGAACTTTTTGTTGAAGTGAAAACTTCTTTAGCGACGTTGGGCACTTTTTGGTAGTGGAAAATGTTATAGGTTCGCGTCACAGACATGTTCATGACTGGCGCACGCGCAGCGGCCGTGTGCTGTGGGCGTTAGACGCTTTTTGGATGAGTGAAATCTCATGCGTTCGCGTCACCGACATGCTTGTAGCAGTATATCTGTAACTATACAGCTAAGACGATCGATGCGATTTTTACGCGATACTTAGATAAATTTCAATCAAACGTTTTCATTTTTTACTTTAGTTACCATAAGCATATTGTATCTTTTTTAGAACACAATGAAATAATTGAAAGTACAAAAAGTCTAAGAATTGTTGAAATTAATGATGACAATGATGCAAACAATGTTAAAAATCAAGTACATTGAAATTTATGTAAATACATTTCAAATTATAAATTAAAATTATGTTACAAAAGTTTACTGATACCAGAATAACTATTTCATCACGTAGTGACTTTCTCATTCTACCTGCGGCTATCACTCGTAATCAAATTATTACTATGGTGTCACATAAATGCAGAGGTTGTCTTCGTTATTTTAGACTACGTTAGTTCATTCTTTTGATTTTCATGTGAATAAATTTTCTGATATTTTTAATCACATTTGGCAATTTACTTAAAAATAGTTGCATTAGTTAATAATGTAATGGATTAGGTATTATACAAGTTCATGTTTAATTCGTTGATGAAACCTCAGTGGTCGAAGAGAACCACTTCCAATTTTTTTACAGTTGTCAACGAATATTTGCAGCTAGGCAACATTTAGACTAACGAACAGATTTCTTTTAGTTTGTATGACACCAATGCTTATATAAAAAATGCACTTAATTATTCTACTTGAACAACTTTTTGATTGAGAAATATGTGTCAGTAACAAATTCCTTTTTGAGAATGAGGATGGTACTAATCCTACTAAAAAAGCCATTT